TAAGATGCACTTCCACAGGGGAGAAATTTGCAGAGGATGGGGTTTCAGTGTCCCACACAATTGGATCTACTATTTTACAGGGGAGGGCAAAAAATGTGTTCTTTGGGGTCTCCACACAAGACAAAAAGGGGTAAAGTCTCTTCTTCATCCGGGAGTAAAGCCATGATGAAGATATGAGTAGGGTAGGACAATATGTTTAGGTTATGGTGGCCTTCAAGATGGATAATATATCCCTTCCCAGCAAGGGAACCAGGCACTGAGGCATAACCAAAAAATGGTGTGAAAAGGAGAACTCAGATAAGGAGCAAGTGAGGGGAGGAGTTCTGTGCATGATGATGGTTTGACCTCCTACCCCGACAATAGGAGATTCGGAGGGATAGGTAGTTCCCCAAAACTCTCTCAGAACCAAGAATGTGGCCCGGTATCTACCAAAATGTTTATGGGATGCCCATCCACTCAGAAACCACCCTGGGTTCCTGCTTGGTGATTGAATAGGTCTGGACAGAAGACCCAGGGTCCTGTCAATCCTCAGCCTCTAGGCCCAGCAAGTCACTGGCAGGGTGACTGACCTCAGCTCCCCTCCGGGAATTGGGGCAGTCCTATCCCAAGTGGCCAGGACGTTGGCATCTGGGGCATGGTCTGGGCAGTTCCCTGGGTTAGGGAAAGCCTTAGCCCCATGCCCTTTATTACCACACTTAAAGCAGGGCCCGGGGGGGGGGTCCTTGTTGTGGGGGTTGTTTTCTCCCCTTTTTCATAGTTTGGAAGGAGCCCTGTAACACCTGGGCCAACATCTGGCATTTTGGGCATTTTGCTCTTTCATCTCTGTTGTGGAAGACCTTGAAGGCCATACCAACACCTCAGTCTGAGGAGTCAAGGGTCCCCTCTCTAATTTTTTTGCTTTGCCCGGATGTTGGGGTAGCTTTGTAAGAAAAAATAGGTCATAAGAAGTTGCCTCCCATCTGGGGATTCAGGGTCCAAATTAGTGTATGAAGGAGAGCCTTTGTTAGTCAGCCTAGAAAGGCTGAGGGGTTTTTATTTTTCTCCTGGATGACTTCCTGGAGTTTATCAAAGTTAATAGTCTTTTGTGCCACCGCCTTTAGGCCACCTATCAGACAGGGAATATGGTGGTCTCTGCATCCCAGGTCTTGGGGGTCACTATAATCCCAACATGTTCTTGGTCTGGAACTTCCTGGGCCCCTAGGGGATGGCGGGCATCACTCTGATGAACCTGGTCTGCATAGGCCCTTGCCTGGTCCCAGACCCTTCTCCTTTCCTCAGGGAGGAGAGTATTGGACAGAATCATGTAGAGATTGTGAAAGGTGAGGCTGTAGGCTTGGGTAAGTATTGAAACTCTTTAATATAAGAGACAGAGTTTGCAATGTAAGATCCCAATTTTTTTCTACTTGAGAAATGTCAAGCATAGAAAAAGGAATATAAACCCTTAAAGTCTTATCCTGCCCAGCGACCTCTCAAAGGGGGGCCACAGCATGTGAAGTTTGCATTGGGTGATGAGATGTGGTGACTTGTGGGTTAGGTGCTGCAATAGTGTGCAAATAGGTGGTGGGTGGACTAAACTGAGGTGGAGGGACCGAGGTGAAGGAACGGAAGTGGGAGGAGGTTGTGGGGGAGTGTTGGGAGGAGGAGGAGGGGGAGGAGGAGCGTCCACAGAAGAAGAAGCCACAGATGTAGAGGATGGGGAAGTGGGAGTGGGTGAAAGTGGGGAAAGCAAGGCTGAGGGCGGGGGAGAGCAGAATGGAGGGGCTCATCAACCAGGTCAAAAGTGGAGGTGGAGAGCAGAGAAGAGGAAGAAGGGGGAGAAGGCGTGGAGGCAGAGGGTGGAGAAGAGGAGGAGGAAGGAGGTTTGTGAGCAAGGAGTAATGCTGAGGCTTGCATTGGGTGCAGATTGGGTGAGATTTAGCAAGGAAAAAGCCTTCACATAGGGAATCTAGTTCCACTTCTTCGATCACTCACAGTAATTAAAAAGATCCTGAAGTAAATTGGGATCCAGAGACCCACATGTGGGCCAAACGTTTTGGCTGTCTAGGGGGTGTGTAGGCCAGTCCTGGGGACAGAACTTTATGAGCCTTTTCAGTTTAATATCAGGGCCAGGCTCAGGGATTTTAAATTATCTAAGAGGCACCTCAAGGGAGAATCGGCCAGGAGGGATGAGGAATTTCCCATGCTGGAAGGGCAAGATGGGAGTCAGAGTGAGAGAGAGAAAGAGAGAGAGAGAGAGAGAGAGAGAGAGAACTTGGGCTGGAAGGAGCTTCCTGGAGGCTCCGGAGCAGACAGAGGGTCAAGTGGGCGTCCCCAAAATTGCTGACCGCCCCAGGGAAATAGAGGGCAGTGCCTGTTCGTCACCAGGGGAGTGCAATCTGTGAGACCCAAAAAGGGCCAAGGCCATGGGCAACCCGATGTCAGGAGAGTTTTTTGACTGGAATGAAAGAGGCAGAGGGGAACTTTTTCCTGTCGGAACGGAGGTTCCAGTCTGAACACAGGTGAAACGAACTGTGACAGCTGCACTAGCCCATCCATGGGAGCCAAGCCTGAGGGGAGGTGGAGGAGTCAGGAAGGGAGAATCTATCCTACGTCCCAGGCGTTCGTCTCCCAGGGGTGTCCTAGCAGAGCGCCCGGGGTCCACCGCGACCCTGACGGGTCTGAGTGGGGTGTGTTCCCCGCAAAACACCAGGAGGGATTGCCGGACACTCAACGGCCAATTCCCTTGTCCTGGTGAGCTGGGTCAGGTGCTCATGGGAGGGGGGACTCACCAACCTGCAGGCCGGTGATGGTGGCAGGCAGGTGATCAGAGGAGTGGATTGTGACAGGAATGGTCAGGCTGGGAGCTCAGTAACGGGGTACCGCCTTGAGCAATGGGGATCCCTGTCCCAGTTTGGGTGCCAATGTAGGAACCGTGGAAAAGCTCCGAAAACTCAACAAGGCTAACAACCATAGCGGGACCACCATGGCTGATCACAGAAGAGAAGGGGGTGGGGAGAGATAGAAAGAGCACGTGTGAGAGCAGAGTGTTGGTATTTATGGGCTCAACGCGGGGTGAGAAGGAGCAGGGGGGAGTGGGCTGTTACTTCTTTATTGGCTGAGAGTCCACCTCTGGGCAGGACAGGGTATGAGTCTCCCAGGGGTTGGAGGTCACAGTTCGTGCCATTTCAGGGATTGGAGATGATGGTTTGCACCACTTAGGTGGTAGTTTGTGCCATTCAGTGCATCATGGACCTGAACTCCTGGAAGAGCCCTCCGGGCGCCATCTTTACCAACATAGAGATCTGTATTTGACTGAAGGTAAGTTGTGTTCACCTTAAAATCAGTCATCATAATTGTTTTATGTAAATCTCCTGGTAAACAAAAAGAAGCAAAGTTATAATAGGTACACAAAATAGAAAGAGAAAGAAATCAAAGCTAACCATTACCAAGATCAACAAATCAGAGGATGGGGGTATAGCTCAGGGGTAGAGGCCTTGCCAAGTATGTACAGACCCTGGGCTCAATTACCAACACACACACACACACACAATTGTTTTCATCATTAAATAGGAATAGGGTTACAGAGGGACAGGGAAGAGGACAGGGAGGACAGCGATGCCCAGCTGACTGTCCTCTGCACCCTGCTGTCTGCTGCCCTCCCAGCACAGCCCCAGGCTGCTGGATGCTCCCCTGCACCCCTTGCAGAGCTGTGCTGTGGCTCTTCTCTTATCTGCAGGCAGGAAGGTCAGGGAAAGACCACAGTGCAGAGCTTCTCCTGCAACCTGGCCTCTGCCTGGCCCCTAGCCCTCCTCCTGCTCCAGGAAACATCAACCCTGGGCCCCCCTAGGGTCTGAGAGTCCTGACTGGACTTCCTCAGAACTCTCACTCACTCCCCCTCCTGGGGCACATCATGGCTGGGTTGTCTTCCCACATACATCACAAATCCTTTTCACAATCAAACAGTCCCAAGAAGTCCTTGAAACAGAGCTTTAGGGACATGGGAGTGACAGTGTCACTGATCCCTATTACCCTGAATGTGACCAGTGGATGAACTGCCCAGATTCTGTCTCCATATGAGAAGGTTTTGGCTGTGGGACTTACGGACTGCCTTTGAAAGTCACCTCCCCATGTTTTCTATCTGGGCCAATGCTGAGAAGTAGGGTCGTGGCATAGACTATTTTCCAGATGACACACTTGAGGCCATGGGGCTTGGGGACTGGCTGTGACTCCAGGATCATTCCTAGACCTGGAGGTTGTGAGCTCAGACCTGCTCCTTGATTTGCTGTTGCAGGCTGTAGATGGAGTTAAACTTGCAAAAGAATGGACTGCGCATCTCTTTAAGCCAGCACAAGCAGAAGGCATGAGACCATGGACTCCATCAGAGAAGGAACAACCTGGAAGAGACTTGTCCCTGCTGATCACGATACTGCCCTGGCACATATAGCATGAAGTGAGCAAAGACATCAACTGCGAGTGTTTGTCTTGTCCACTGTGACTGGAGCAGGTGTTTTGCTGTTACCTCCCCCTTGCCCTTTTTCTTTGTATAAACACGAACCCCAGGGGCTGCATGGTAGAGCCCTAGCCCACCACACCCAAAGCCCTGCCTCTCTGTACCCTGTGAATTCTCTAGTAGTAGCATGTAGCTGTGCCTTTGGGGTGGGGAAGAGTATGTGAAGGTTCTACAGAATAGAGGGAAGCCATGGAACTCAGGACGGCTTAGCTCAGGCTTGCTTGTAAGAGGGAGATTCTGTGCTGGCCACAGGCTGGCATTGAGATCAGGGCTGCCTGGACAGAGCAGTTCACCCAGCGGGTGTGGGCAGGTGTAGTTACCTGAGACAAGCTGGCTCTGCCTGCAGGAGGGGGCTTGCCAACAGATGTCAGAAACCAATGTCCATCCAGGCTCTGGTCATTCGTACAGTTATTCTGCAATTTCTTAGAGCGAGTGAGGTTGCCTCTGTGAACTCTGGTGGGCTTCCTAACACTGGCCTGTGGCTCTGCCCTCAGAGTAGGGAAGGTCTTCCTCTTGCTGGTTCCCCTTTCGGATGTTTCCTCCCCAGCTGAAGAGGCCGGCAGGCAGCCAGGATGGGACACAGCTCACAAGATCCCTACCTCTGCTGGACCACCAGGCTCCTGGGAGTCATTAGCCTGCTCTGTGAGTAGCTGGATTTCCTGGAAGGGAGGGAAATTGGGGTGCTGGGTCAGCTGGGACCCTTCAGTCCTGGGGGCTGTTAGGCTCTGATGCCTTTGGAAACAAAAAGTGAAAGCCGCACTATTATTATTCACCAATGCAGTGTTGGTAGAGCCCAGGATGAACGGAAAGTGCAAAATGGCCTTTTTGTGGTGAGGACCTGGGACCCTGGGCATGGGCAACCCTGGATGAATGAGGGACCATAGCCAGGGAGCTGAGGCCACCTGGGCTGCAGCAGCAGGGAGAGGCTGGAGCTGCCTGGGGACAGGGAAGGAGACAGACCAAGAGCCTGTTCCTGGGGCACAGGGTGAGGAGGCAGCACCCCAGCCTGGGCCCCCAGGGTCCTCAGGGCCTCTGCAGCTCTTCTGTGGAGGCCTCAACCGGAACCCTGATGTCTGAGCTGGAGAAAGCTCCTCTGGTCTGTGCTCCTTCCCCCCCACCCTGAAATGCCCCTGGCTGGGAGACCTCAGCTGGAACCTTGCTTATCTCATCACTGTTCCTGGCAAAGCCCTGGAAAAACAGGAGGCACCGTCAATTGAGGAAAGATTGAGCAAACTGTGTAGTATCTGGGGCCCCCATGCATGGGATGTCATGGAGGCTAAGGAAACAGTGCCCCAGTGTTCTGGGAAGAATGTCCAGTTTCCATGAGGGAGACGCCTGGATCCTCCTCAGCAAGATCCAGGGAACCCAGCATCATGAAGTCCTTACTGTATAAAAGGACAAGCAGCCTCTACACATCCACATTTATGGGGCTGTTGAGCATGTGGGGAAACAATAGTGGTAGCTACCACAGGCTACAGGAGGGGAAATTGTGCAGAAAATACGCAGGGAAAAGGAGAGGGTGGGAAGCTAAAAGGAAGTGAAAAAAGTACTGACCTAATGATTGAGTCATGTGAGCCAAGATCATGTTACACTATGACATCACGGACTGTTGTGTTTGCTCCTATGAAGAAATAAAATAAAAACTAATGAGAAAACAAGAAGATCTAGTGAAGTGACTTTTGGTGAAGACTTTCTGTCTGATTTTTTATCAATCCCAGCCACTAAGTGAACTTGCAGGGAATTCCATGGAGCTTGGTGGTTTAGGGAGCACTTGTGAAAGGAGACTTGTTAACTGAACAACAAGCTGCCAGTGGTAGAAGACTGGTCCCTTTTAAATAGCTCAATTTTGGAACAGCAAAATGCACACTCTTCCCATTTCTACTGCGTTGTTTAACTGTTAATGCGCAGCTCTCTCCAGAGGCAGTGGGGGTGGAAGATTTCAAAAGGAAGGAGAAGAACAGGAGGGGAGGGTGAGGAAGAAGGGGGAAGGAAAGGGAGGACTTGACTTTCCCAATTATTGGATTTGCAGCCTGAGCCCAGACAAAGAGGGTGGTTCTCTCAAGGTCAACAGAAACAGGGAAGGTTGAAATTGGTCCCCCCACAGTCCTGACCTCTGTGCAGCTGAATGAAGCAAAGCACCTTGCAAGGAGTTGGTCAGAGGCTCTTCATGGAAGGAGCCTCACCCCTAAATTGCTCTGCATCCTTTCTGGAAGCCTGAAGATCCACAGTTGCATTTTTCTTTGGTTTCTGGATTGTCCTCTGTTCACTCACCCTTGTTTGGGGGAGAGAGATGGTGGTGAAGGAGTGATGGTGAGGGTGGTGAAGAACTTGCCCATATCATGGTTCAAATAGCAAGTCCTTTCCTGCACATGGTTTGGAAGGGCAAGTGTGGAAGAGAAAGGGAAACTGAGCACAGCTTGCTTCCTGGAATTTCCACACTGCAGCGGGGTGATCCTGGATATGTGGTGGCTCCCCCAAACTGATAGCAACAGCATTTAATGAATGCTGCCCCCATCTGCTGGCGGGGAGATGGAGAAGTTTCCAGGTCACTATTGGCCCAAGAGAGACACGGAAACAGTGTAAAGGGCAGCAAGGTATCAGTTTGGCAGTTTTGTGCATGAGTTGACAGGGAACTGCTCCTGGTGTGGGAACGTGGAGATAGGGATACGACACAAGAGGAACCATGTTCTGTGCCCACGGTTGCATTTTTAATTTTGTAGTATGAAGTTCACACTCTACCTGGTAAAGCCCATGTGCTCCATGGCTCCTCTTTCCTTGTTTAGGATGAGCATCTTCTGTAGGTCAGAGAGCTCCTGCTGCCTCCCCTCTCTGCCTCCCTTCTCTGTCTTGCTGATGTCACCCACCATTGGGCCTCAGGGGCTGATCCTCCCACAGGCTGAGGCTGACCCTCCTCTGTATTTGTGGTTCCCTCTTCTAGGAAGTGGGAGTCTGGGCAGGCTGGCTGTCCAACCCTGGGCGAGCCAGAAGTCTCAGCTGTGCTCAGCCACTCCAAGGAGACACTGTCCCTGCAGGGGGGACAGTTGGAGGATGAGACTCCAGCAGCTGCTCAGGCCCTGGAGGGACCAGGTAACAGCTCAGGGAGGGGCAGAGTTCCTAGTGGGCAGCATCCTGGGCTCCAGGCCTTGCTGTGCCCTGTGTCACCAGGACAAGTCCACTCCCCAGGGACCCCCTGCTCTCTAACAGGAGGGGCTTGACAGCTCACCTCTGAAGCCCCTCCAGGGTGACCCAGGGCTTCCACTCACACAGGGCTTTCTGTGGCCACTGCAAGGCCTCTGCTCTGTCTTTCTCGTCCTGACCTGTCCTATCCTGTCACCTGACAGGGAGTCACAGCTGGGGAGCCTGTTTAGGGCTCCTTAAGAGAGGACACCCTGAGCTGTCCCTGTGGTCATTTCTTCAGCCCCCAAGGGAGGGAGGAAATCCTGCTCCTCAGCTCCTCCACCTGACCTGGTCTTCTCTGCCTCTGCTCCTGAGGGGGACCTCAGGGCTGGTGTCCTCAGATCTCCTGCCCAAGGACTCTCCCTCCTCACACCCTTGCAGATGTGGTCTGCACACCTTGCCCAGGAGGCCATGTTGCAGCTGTGCCCTTTAGACCAGCTGATGAAAGCCTCTGCCAGACCTTGAGGTTTCTGTTCAGCACAAAACACTGGCTTCCCTGCAGGACCCTCCTACAATGCTGGCAGGGGGACACAGACACTGTGGTGACCACAATGACCTCATCAAATCCCTGAGGATGGTCTGAAATACAGGCTGTCAGAGCACCCCATTGCGCTGTTTCCCCATGGGATAGCAGGCTGTTTCTCTGGGTACTGCATTAAACAGAGCACTTAAATGTACTGACCACCACTGTACTGACAGCCAGCAAGCGCCTGCTGTCCATGCACAGAGAAACCAACACGGCACCAGGTTTTGCAAGAAGAAAGAACTTCACAGTCACTTCCCTGAAAAGGAGAGAGGAGGCACACTCACTTTTGTCTCCCCAGGGAGCAGGAAGGGACTTAAGGCAGGGATGAGAAACAGAAGGCCGGCTGGATGGAGTCGGGAGTCTTGGTGGCATGGTCCACACCAGGTGCCCTGGGCCTGGTGGAACCTCTGGGTACTTTGTGAGTGCACTGGTCTCTCTGACCCCATGCTCCCTCCTGCAGCTGTGGCTGCACCCTGGCTTCTAACCCAGGTCCACAAGACCCTCTTCTGGTTCCTCAGCTTCTCGTCCTTGGAGACTTTTGGTTCCTCTCAGCTCTCTAGGTCTCAAGGTCCTTAAAAAGCAACTTGCATAACAGTTTTTAGAAAAGGGGAAGTTGTCGTTTTATGACCCAATTTCAACCGAAAATTACACATTTATACAAGTGTGTAACTCTGATTAGGCTGGATGACCACAGTGCTAAAGGATACTTCTATTTTGCTTATTAATTAAATAGGGGACCATAGGATGTCACAATCCCTTTAAACGGAGAATGAATGTCACCTCTCCACACCACTGGGAAGGTTGAGAGGCATTTATGAATAGATGCCTGGGCTCACAGGGCTGGAGTGTCTCTGGGCACACGTCATTTCCAGTGCTTACCTTGGGATGGGGCACAATTTGTTTTCACTTGAAAACTCCATGACTTGGATTCTTGTTTTCAGTGTAACGGGTGATACTTCTGTATTAAAGAACAGCTCAAGATGTGGGGAGATGGGCAACCAGAGTTAGGATTATGAAATTTGTGGCTGGGGTTGTGGCTCAGTGGTAGAGAACTTGTGTAGCTTGGGCAAGGCACTGGGTTTGATTCTCAGCACAACATATAAATAAGGGAATAAAATAAAGATCCATTAACGTTTAAAAATTTTTAAAAAAAAAATAATACAAAATTTAAAATCTTAATTCAAGGTAGGGATAAGGAGTCCTTCTCTCCACGTTCCTACTCCTGCTTCTTGGCTGCACAGGAGTCTTGTGGAGCTTGGTAATGGTGCCTGCATCACAGTGAATTTCCTTTTAAACTCAGACCTTATACAGAGGAAAGCCATGGCTGGACCTTGACACCTACAGGCACCAAGGAGATTGAAGCCACAGGATGTGTGACTCCTGCATCCCATCCCTGTACTCAGGAGGAGACTCCCAAGAGGGGCAGCTGGACGGGAGGAAGGGACACCAGCCTGGAACTGGGAATGTGTGGTTCTGACCCGGGGGTGCTGGGCCAGTAATGCCCATCATGATAACAACAGCAGCGAATGGGAACAGCACAGTTATTGAATACTGTGCCCAAAGCTCTTTCTGCTTAAATCCAATAACAATTCAATGAAGTAAGCACCATCACTCCCATTTCATAGGTGAGAAAGCTGAAGCCAGAGAGGTTCAGTAACTGTTCAAGTTCACCCAGCCAGAAGATGGGGGACCTAGACTAACTTGGTAACCAACCTTGTAACCATTCTTTTGTACCATCCAGCTGTGGGACCTAGCTGACACCAAACTACATTTTATTTGCTCAAAACTTAAACATGAATGTTGAAACCACAAGAAGAACTTGAACAAAACTAGAAAAAAAATGAGAAGCTTACTTTTGAAGGGAAGGCTATCCTTTTAAGCATGACATGAAACCAATAAATACTAAAAAACTTTTGATATCTTTGAATTCATGAAATGACATTTTGGCTGCTGGGTAAAATAAACTTAATAGATTTAATGAAATTTATCACAATTCAAATGACATCTTTAACAGAAATAGAAAAAAAAATCTCCTAAAATTTGTTTGGAATCAGATAAGACCCCAAATAACAAATGAAAAAGAACAAAACTGGATGTGTCTCACTCCCTGATTTCAAAATACAATGTTATTGTGATTAAAACAGCAGGGAACTGGTACAAAAACAGACACATTGACCAATGGAAAAAGAAGAAATTCCATAAATAAACCGAGTGTTTACAGTCAGTTGATGTGATGTTTGACAAATGGGCTAAGAATATACAACAGGGAAAGGACAGTGTCTTCAGTAAATGCATATGGGAAGATGGGCTAGCTATATGCAGAGGAAGGAAATTGATTCTAACTCACCTCATATGAAAAAATCAACTTAAAATGGAAGAAAGACTGAATCATATGATTTGGAACTATAAAGTCTCTAGAAGAAAACAGAAGTTCCATGAGCTTGGGTGGTAATTTCTTGACAAGGACTCCCAAAGCACAGACACCAAAAGCAAAAACTGACAGAATTGCATCAAATTAAAAACCTTCTGCACAGCAAAAAAAAAAAAACAAAAAACAAAAAAAAACAACAACAAAGTGAAGAGACAGCCCTTGTCTTGGGAGAGAATATTTGCAAAGCACACGTCTGATATGGGGCCAATAGACCTAAGTAACTCAATAGCAAGGAAACAGGTAACTTGATTTAAAAAATGGGCAAAAGATTTGAACAAGTATTGCTCAAAGAGAGAAATGAGTAGCCAACAGAGCTATAAAAAATCCTCAGCATCTCTAATCATCAGGGAAATGAGAATTGAAGACACATGAGGTACCCCTCCCATCTGTTAGCATGGCTTGCATCTAGCACGTGCCAGACGATGTGCTGGGAGCTGTCAATCCCTGGCCTCCTGTAGTTCATACCCTGACTTCAAGTCAGGTAAGGAAACTGCAGTCTAGTCCAATTAAGTCACCAACCCAAGGTTACACTTCAGCAGAACCGGACTTGATCTGAGAAATGGATCCAATTCACTGTACAAGGCTTCCTCTCTAGATCAAGGAAAGGGGCCGGATGGATTGGTTAAGAAGAAAATGTCTGTTTCACTTGTTCTCCTTGAGGAAATATCCATGTTCTCTTTCCCAATGCCCTAGGTGCCTGCAGCACTTTAGCCAAGAGTTCTGAAGCTCATGGTTCTGGGATTAAAGGTTTTAGAACCCGCACTTATCTGAAGGCGATCCGGGGTGGTTCGGTCTTGTTGCAAGTGATCCAGGAGCCAGAGGATCCCAAGATAGAGGAGATCACCTGGGGTGTCACCTCTGATTCAAACTCCACATACATGCTGAGACTCCAGAATGGAAAGGAAGATCCACTGTGGTTCAGTCTCCAGGGCAAGTACAAGCAGAGGGTCCAGGTGCCCAGTATGTCATCCCTGAGGATTAACAATTTGACCTCACAGGACAGTGGGCAGTACTGGGCCCTGATCATGTTTCAGACGGGAAGAGAAATTAAAGCAGTTTTCCACCTCACTGTGTACGGTAAGTGACAGTCTCACCTAGTCCCAGGGCCGGCCTCCTTCCTTGAGTCTAGGAGGCTCTGAGACCACATGCTGCAGGATTCTCCTCAGGCACCTAAATGTCAGATATTCATCACAAATAGTAGAGCTGAGGTTTTATACCAGGGAGAAAAATCACATCTGTGTTTTGGGACACAAAATGGAAATTTGGCCATTTTTGCAGTAACATTTCCACCTCTTTGTAAGACTAAATTTACTGCTTTTGTATATTAGTTTTCCTTTGCTCTTTTAATAATGCATATTCGTGGTTTAAAACAACACAAATGTGTATCCACAATATGCTGCAGGTCGAGGTCAGACATGGTTGTCACTGGGCTAAAACCCAAGTGTGGGCAGGGCTGCATTTTGTTCTGCAGGATCTAGAGGGGATCCTTTCCTGCCTTTCCTACTCTCCAGAGATGCCAGCCTCCCTGGACTTGAGGTCCCCTCCTCTGCCTAAAATACAAAGGGAGGGGGAGTCTCTCTTGCATCCCTCCTACCTGTTGTTTCCCTTCCTCTTGTTTTGGATTTGTGCTGTGCTTTTGGTACCGGGAATTGAATCCCGGGGTGCTTAATCACTGAGCAACATTCCCAGCCTTTTTTATTGCTTCATATTTTTGAGACAAGGTCTAACTAATTTGCTTCGAACCATGCCAGGTTGCTGAGGCTGGCTTTGATCTTCGTTCGGATCAGGATCATCCTGTCTCAGCCTCCTGAGCTGCTGGGATTAGGGGTGTGCACCACCATGCCAGACACTTTCTTCCATGACTAAGGGTCCCTGTGAGGACTCTGGGACTATCAGAAAATCCTATTTAAAGCTCAGTTCTTTTTTTCATAACTTAGCATATTCACAGATTCTGAGGATCAAGATGTGGACATCAGTGGGAAAGGATTGTTCTATCTCATTTGAAAGCCACTGGTATCTAGTTCACCATCTCCAATCCTTGCAGGGAGTGGCCAGTGAGAGGCCAGCCTCACTTCCACAGACCCCACAAATCCTGCTCTGCAAGCCTTGATAGGGTAGGAGAATTGATGCTGCTGCATGTCCCAGGAGATCCGTTTTGCCACCTCTAGGGTCTCCACAGTCACTCTCTGCCTAGGGCAGTCCCTCTGCAGGGAGTGGCCTGCAGGTACAGGTCCTGTGTGATTTCCAGACTGGCCTGTGGATCTGACCCTTCTCCCCCAGTCGGGAGCACACATTCAGGGTCACATTCTAACTGCCTGCAGAGCTGTGCTCTCTGTTGCAGCCACAGTATCTCCCACAATGTCTCCTGTTTTGACCTGAGCTTTCTGGGTCCTCCCAGAGCTGGCCTGGTGTCCTGCCCCAGTTGGGCTGTGCAGTCCCAGGCACTGTCTCAGCTGAAGACCCAGGACACAGGACCCTGGCCCCAGACAAGCTCTTCTGTCCCACACTTCCTTCCCTTCCAGAAGACCCCTATCTTCTAGAAATAATGGTCCCTAAAAACTGGGATTCAGCCATCATGTTCTCATGGGAAATAAAGTTTAGACTTGCTTCGTCTAGTGAGATCACATGAGCTTAATAAAGTGGCTGCTGTCACTTGTCAACATGTAGCTCTGGGGAAATTGTGCTTTATTTGTAACGTGCTCCCAGCTTCCTCCTAGGGCTCCTGCCTCTGGTCAGTGAGACACTGGAGGACAATGTGTGGCATGTGTGAGGCTCTCTCCTTTGTCCCCTCCTTCCTCAGATCCTGTGCCCCTTGCCCAGATCTGGACCACGTCAGCGTCCATCACACCCAGCTGGTGCAATGTCACTCTGGAGTGTGGGGCCCGAGAGGCTGTAGAGGTCCTGAGTGTAACCTGGGAGGTCCAGGGCCCCCACAGTGAGCAAGAGCAGAGAGGGGCTCCAGGACCCCCCAACCCCTGGACCCTGGCCCTGAGCCTGCCGCTGAGGCAGCCCAATGTCAGCCTCACCTGTGTCCTCAGCAACCCAGTGGACCAGAAAAATGCCACCTTACAGCTCCTTGACCTCTGTAGCCCAGGTGAGTGCACCTGCGGGAGGGAGGGGCACAGGGAGGGGCTCAGGTGGCTCTGGAGCCCCAGGGTCCCTGGCTTTTTTGCTGCTGTGTTTATGAACAGCACTGCCTTCCCTTGGTCACTCCAATCCAGAAGTGTGGGGTCGCATCCAGCTCACGACTGTCTTTAAGTATCTCTCACCTCCATGCCCTTCCCCCTGGGCCAGGGGCAGCCTTCCAGGACCTGTCCCACCCCGTCACCATGCCCTGTGTCCAGAGTCGTCTTTGGAGAAACAGATCGGATTGTGGCCTTTGTCTGTGTCATCTCTGGGGTCGACCTCCACCTAGTCCCCATAGGATGTAGGGCTTAAAGGGTCCTGTGTCCCTGATGGTGGCCTCATCCACACAGGGACACAGCTGCTTGCTGACCTTCCCTAACGTGTGAAGCCACTGCCAGCTCTGAAGGCGCAGCCTCTTTAAGGAGCTGCCCACGGCCATCCCCCCTGAGTGGAAAGATCCCTTTCTGGGTCTGAGTCCACCCTGAGTGGGACATCATGAGGGCAGGGGACACATCCTTCTCTCCTCTTAGCCCAGGTGTCCAGCTCAGTTCTGGGCATTTTGTGCCCAGTAGGTGTCTCACTGAACCCGAATGCCTGGGACCCGTGTGCACCCCGTCCTCTCTCAGTCTTCCTCCAGGGGCTGCTGGAGGAGCCTGACTGGTCAGTGCAGTCACCACCCCTGGTCATGTGCCCACCCCCTCCACCCTGGAGTCTCAGAGGAAGTTCAACATGGCCCCCCAAACCTCCTGGCCTCACGGCTGCCTCCCGGTCCTCCCCACCTAGCCCTGCCTCCTGTGCTGTCCCTCCCCTGCGGGACACTCCCACCACACTGAGTATCTGTGAAACTCCTGCCACTCCCCACACACAGGTGACTGCGCATGTCCCTGGGGGTCTCACTGGAGACCTTGGACATGGGTCAACCTCTCTGCAGTGAGATCCTTCACCTGGTGATTGAGAGCTTCTGTCTCTTCCTGGTGATGACTTGTTCACAGACTCCACTTTGCTCATCCTCATCTCCCTATTCCATGAAGTGCCTGGGCCACTGCTTGAATGAGTGGACCTGCCACGCCCTCCCTCTGTGGTTTCTGCACCACCTTCCAACTTTCTCCATCCTCTCTCTCTCCCTTGTCACTGTGAACCTCATCTTGTCTCTGCCTTAACGTGTTTCACTGTCTCCTTGGGAGGGAAACAGACTCACATGGAGAGCACCCAGCTGTCCTCATGGGAGGCATCCGAATGGGTTATGTGGCTGTGATTCTGATCCTTGCATCTGGAATCCGCCTTTGGATGATGCATGAGAAGATGATGGAGAAGAGAAGAAGCAGGTTGTGTTTCTCCTCCTGGGCCCAGAAACCTCCCTCTCCCCTTGGGCCCTGGGCTCCCCTCCTCCTACATTTTCCTGACAGTAGGAGGGCTTTGTGGAGAAGATGAGGACAGTAAAGGGGACAGCCTTGGATTCCTGGCACTGGGTACAGGTAGAGGTTTCCCTGGAGAATCCGGCTGCAACCTGGGATGACTCAGGTCCAGGACTGCAGGAGGGCCATGAGGTCGAGGACAATGACATCAACTAGGCACAGCTGGTGCAGCAGGAGTCTTGGCAGGACAAGGACAAAGTGAGAGCTGGCAGTGGTGACCAGCCTGGACAACCCTAGGTCACACTGCCCAGCCCAAGGCTCCCCAAATCAGGCATACACTCTTTCTGTTCCCACTGATCTTGACCTATTTATGTAACACCAACATGATTAACAAAGAAAGTCCATCATTGACAAACCTGTGCTGGTTTGTTTAGGGGATTTCATAGGCAGTCCATAGTACTGAGTGTTGTATCCAGGCCAGTACCTCGGGGCCCTCTGTCCCTTGGCTGTCCAAGAAACACTGTGTCTTGCTTTCCCAGGAATTGATGAACAACATCTGGAAGAGAAGGGGCCTTGCCCTTGGTGTCTACAGTGAGGTCCTTAACCAAGGACAGGCCATGAAGATGGTTTCATTGAAGGAAGCTGCAGAAGCCGGCACTTGGGAGAGACTGTGCTCTGAGCCTGACACACACAGACGCCCACCTGCTCCAGGTTCAGTCCAGCTCCAGATGGCCCTGGAGAGTCCCCATCTTCCTGAGCACACATGGCCCTGTTCCTTCTTGTGACACCTCCCCAAGCTGCCTCCACCCTCAGGACCCTCATGCCAGCCAAGCAAGGGCTCTTCCTCTGTGCTTGATCTGGCTCCTGGTCCCTCAGTTTGAGAAGCCTTCCCAAAGCAAATCCCCCTGACTGTGCAGGTGGCAAATCCTCACCACCTCGGCTGTGTCACTGGTCTGTCCAGTGGGAACATTGGCACAGGTGGTGGGACAGTGAAGAGATATGGACCTTGCCCAGAGGAGGGAGTCAAGATGGGTTCTGCAGGCTGAACTGGGGGTCGGTGGAAGCAGCATGCATGATGGGAGCCCTGGGTCCCTTACAGACCTGGTGTAGGACCCCCTTGGGTGTCAGGCTGTGTGTCTGTGTGTGTCTGTGTGCATGGGGGATGGGTGGGGGGTGTTGGGGAAGTGTCTAATACACAGGAGACATGGGACCATAGCTCACCTGAACTTAGCTGTTGCCTATTGCAAACTCATCTCCATGTCAAATGCAAAAAGGAATCCACATTCCTCAGGCCCTCCTCAGGCTTCTCTTCTCCTGGCTCTGACCCCATCATAGGGTTTGTCTTAGGAAATCTACACCAACACCCCCTGCCTTGGGATGAAGGCCCTTGAGGAGAGTGGGTGTGCAGTGCCCCCCACACGCCCCTTAGTGAGGCTGCTGTGGGCTCTGATGTGAGAAGCTGTGGGAAGTTCTGAGCCAGCCCTCTCAGGCCTCCTCCTGACCCTCACCCCCTGATCCCTCTGGCCCCAAGCCCAAGGTCAGCTCCTCTGTGCTCACACACACCTCTCTGCCTGCCTTCTCCCTGTTCCTGCCCACACCCACCCCTACCTGCTGAAATTCTTCCATCTTCCCAAATCTCACTTCTCAGCCTCCTGTTCTAAGGAGCCTGTCTGGACCCCAGAGTTTTGGACATAGGCTCTCTTGAATTTGGCCTCTTTCAACATTTGAAAATCATTGAGGGCCCTGCCACAGTCTGTCCTGGATGGGAGTCATTTCTTATCCACCGGATTAAGGTAGGGCTCCCTCAAAAGGGACTGGGGGAGGCCAACGCCCAGGAGAACCCATGCCTCTTCTCATGAAGGATCTTGACCCTTCTCCCCATTTGCTTGTGCCTTGAGCACACGAAATCGAATGAGGGTGTTCTTCATAAAGGGCCCTCAGCTACAGCCAGCAAGGAAATGAGGACCTCAGTTTTATAACAGCAAAGAACAGAATTATGGTGAAAACCTAATGAGCGAGAAATGGATTCTTCCTTAGAGTATCCAGAAGGGAACACAACCTGGAGACACCCTGACTTTATTCCACATCAGATCTTGACCTCCAGGTCAGGGAGACAATAAGCTGGTGCCATGTCAAGACACTGAGGATGTGGTGATTGACTATGGCAGAAGGAACAGATGTCATTCCATTTTATGGTTTCAAGTACTTTGGGTCCTCCAGAGTCTCCAGCCTGGGAGTCTCCACTGGGCTCCATGTTGACAAATCTGACTCTTCACGGGGCATCTCCAGCCATGGCTGCCTCCTCCTCAAGAAGGCACATACTTCCCTCAGAGCAGCCCTCACACCCTGCTCTGACGGGATTTCTGCTTCTTTCCCACCACCCCTGGGCCACTCGAGGACAGTGAGTTTGCTTCTGTCTTTGTGCTCCAGAGGTGCTCCCACGCAGTAGGCACTCATTACAGGTGTGTTCCATGGAGGTGACCTGAGGGTGGATGGACGCCTGTCAGGAAACCCCACCTGCAGTTTGGCCCTCAGCCACGAGGTGGCGCTGCAGGTGGCTTTGCGTGACACTTGGACAGAGGCTGCAGGTGATTCTGGAGGAGTGTGGAGTCTCTTGGTTTCTCTCCCAGAGCATCCACAGGGCAGGTAGATGTGAGAGGCAGAGAAACCCGGGGTAAGAGAATGACATCTGGAAAGTGGAGCCAGGTGAGATGCCCCGGGGGTATCCCCAGAGGATATCTGGTGAAGGCGATCCCCCACTCACTGTCTTGACAGGGTCACAGTGAAAATAAGTCCTGGCAAAGCCACTCTCCCACTCTCTTGACAGGGTCACAGTGAGGATGAATGCTGGCAAAGCCGCACTGGTTGGTGGGAAACCGAAACCATGAGACCCTTTTTTATATAATTGGGACTTTTCATTTTCATGCTCATGTTCCTGACAGGAGTCATGAGTATGTTAAATGCCAAACAAATTTCAGATGGCTAGAACATAACAGGTAGTTCATGTCTTGAAGGCTGTTTTACTACCCCTCAGCATATCAAGGACAAAGTAGAAGGCTGTTCTTCTATCTCAGTACATTGAGGACAAATCTGATAATGGACAACAATCATCCTCTGAAAGGTCACGAGAATTTTAGGCACCACATTGATTTTATCAACTAGAACCCAAGCTCATATTTCCAGCCTCTTAGAAAATCTAATCATTATGTTTATTTTACAAAGCCCACCATATGTAGTCTCATTCTTGATTGAGGAAAGTTATATTATACACTTAGGAAAGTTAAAACATATAAGTATATATTCTTCTCTTTTTATAAACCCTTTTTTACTTTATATAGGAATTTATGATGAGCATAGTTAATATTGGCGGAAAGTGGACTGATGTTTAGAACTTACTTTCTATTGAGAAAGATTATAAAGATATGAGAACTAGTGCACCTTGACTGAGAAACAAAGAAACTCTTTGAGAAAGCAGCTCAACCAGTTTTATGAGAATAAATTTAGGAATTAATTAAATTAGCTTTATAAGATATATTTTTAGAATAATATTAGAAATACTATCCTATTTAGATTTTGGGATTTAGAAATTCTTAAGTTTTTAGTTGTATGGGTTTCTGATATGTTTTGAGAATTATTTATAAATTTTAGGATATTTTAACTATAAGATTTAAGGGGACTTTTTTAGATGGGAATTTTAGATTAGAAATAAAGTAAAAGTGTACTTTAAACTTAAAGATTAATGACAGGTTAGGAGACTGAGAGTCTAGTTACATAGTTTGGCATTAGTTAATAAGAAAATAGCATATCTTGGGGAAAATAGTAAATCTTGGGGAAATCTGAAAAATGTAAATTAGTGATGCATTTTATTAATGATTTTGTACTTTTAATAATTAAATAACTAAGGGTCATATCCTGGAAAAATGGAAATTAATGTTACATTTTTTGTACCTCTAATCATGGTTAAGGAAATGTCATGTCTTGGCAAAAGTTTTAAATTGTATAATCAATGACATTCTGAATGTATAATGATGAGAAAAATTGCAATAAAAGATGACCCAGAGAAAGCTGCATTAGAGCTCTCTCTCTGGAGATTGCTCCAACGGAACGGCTCCTATCTCATCTTTTCGCCGACATCCCTCATCCTTCAGGATTCCCTGGACCCCACTAGGGCAGGACCCCGGCAGATATCCAATATGTACAGATAATTCACAAATCAGAAAATACCACCAGCTAACACACATTGGGGAACCTTCCATGTCCCTGAGGGGGTGGCAGATCCATAGCTGGGGCGGAAGTTCCACTGTGCGAATGTGTGACTCAGTGATTGGGGGCCTGGTCCCAGGGCGATATGTGCCCAGGTGAGAACTCAGGGGGTCCTGCAGTGGGAGGGTCAAGGCTTGGCTCCTTAAATTCCAGTCTCTGCTGGGGCTGAGAGAATTGCTTGGGTGGGATGGGGTCGGTTCCCACTGGGGATCCTTGAGAACCCAGTGTGTCTGACCTTGGCTCTTGATCATCCAGGGAAGAGATTTCTGAACTGAAACTGCCTCAAGGAGAGGAGAGTCAGGGCGCTCCCTCCCCAGCCCCCTGGAGACAGACCCTGAGAAGTGGAGGTGGGTGCCTAGGGGAGGGGACGGGGAGTCAGGTGCTTTCCTGGGGCTGGAGGCTGGTTCAGGTGGGGAGCACTCAGCCCTGGAGAGGATTTCCAGCCCCTGGAAGTGGAGCCTGCTTTGAAGGACTGAGAAGGGTCTCAGCAAACCCTGGGTTGGCACCCACCTTTCCACCTTCACGTCCTTCCCCTTCTGAGCTGGCCTACTCTTCTGTAGGTGGGGTGCTCACCCCTGCCTCTCAGCTCAGATTGGAGACAGCCTGAGCTGATGGACCACAAAGCTTTGGAACATGGAGGTCACCTCTAGGTCCTCATCTCCAGCCTTCACAGCTGGGCACCTGCCTGGCTCCGGGGGTGGAGCCTGGTGTCCCCTCCCTCCTGTGTGACCTTGGGCAAATCACCCAGTCTCTGTGTGTCCAATGAGGACCTTACTGGCATAGGCCTCATCAAAGTGTTATAAAAACTAAATGGTCCAGGTGTGTGGCACATGCCTGTAGTCTCACCACTCAGGAGGCTGAGATGGGAGGATTTCCTGAGCCCAGGAGTTTGAGACCACTAACTTAGTGAGATCCTGTCTTTAAACAGACAGAGGCCGGGCATGGTGGTGAATGGTAATTCCAGCAGGTTGAGAGGCTGAGGCAGGAGGATTGCAAGTTGAAAGCCAGCTTCAAGCAATTTAGTGAGGCCCTAAGCAACTTAGTGAGATCTTGTCTCTAAATAAAATATTTTTAAAGGGCTGGGGGTCTGGTGTGGTGGCACTGGCCTGTAATCCCAGCAGCTCTGGAGGCTGAGGCAGGAGGATCACGAGGTCAAAGTCAGCCTCTGAAAAGAACTCAGTGAGACCCTGTCTCTAAATAGAATACAAAATAGGTCTGGGCATGTGGCTCTGTGGTTGAGTGCCCCTGAGTTCAACCCCTGGTTCCAAAAAAGAAAAAAAAAAAACAAAAACATACAAACAAGAAACAACCCGGAAGGGTTGGGGTGCTAGAGAGAGAGAAGTGAAATAAACCATGCCTCATGCTGGTGGGCCTTGGAGGGAGTTGGAAGAAGACCCTCAGCGGACAGTTTGGGAAACCATGATTTATAGAGCTAATGGGATCTGTTGCAGAAGAATGAAGACATTATACTGTTTATCCACCCCACACCAAGTCTTCACATGGACCCAAACATGTGACACGAGAGATGTGAAGGTTGTCATCCTGGGTCAAGGTCCTTGTGATGGACCCAGTGAGGCTCATGGGCTCTGCTTTAGTGTCTAGAGACCTGTTCCACCTCCACGCAGTTTGGAAAATATTTATAAAGAACTGTCTACAGACTTAGAAGGTTTTGTTCATCCAGGTCATGGAGGTTTATCAGGATGTCCTTCTGCTCAATGCTGAGCTCACTGTCTGGGCCCATCAAGCCCCTAAGTCGCATAAGGAGGGGGCTGGAGCAGTTCCCTGATGCAGTGTGGCCTTGGCTGAATCAGAATTTGAAGGCCTGTCTTCCTGCTCTGGGGATCTTCTGCTCAGAAGTGCCATTGACAGGAAGCGGCATCCTGTACAGCAGACTGCCCATCCATCCCTGCTGTCTGTGTAGAGCATGTTCTTTGTGTGTAGATGGTTTTCTAAAGCTAATGAGCTGCTGCAGAAATCTGCTAAGAAGCCCTTGACTAGAAGGAGCTGTGACCTTGCACCGATGGGGAGGGGTGTCCCTTCTTCTACAGGGGTGGTTTTGAGAAGCTGCTGTTGAAGTATTTGTCAGGTATGAAGTCACTGAAAATTTCCTTCTTTTTTTTTGGGGGGGGGCAGGTACTGGGGATCGTACTCAGGGGCACTTGACCATGGAGCCACATCCCCAGCTCTATTCTGTGTTTTATTTGGAGACAGGGTCTCACTGAGTTGCTTAGTGCCTTGCTTTTGCTGAGTCTGGCTTTGAACTCTGGATCCTCCTGCCTCAGTCTCCTGAGCTGCTAGGATTACAGGTGAGTGCCACCACACCTGGTGAAAATGTCCTTATTCTTAAGTGCACGTATAAGGGGAGAGGGCTTCCATAAAGCAGCAGAGAACCAGGCAGCCCAGCCAGGGACATCAGAGATAGACTTCAACCATTTCTTCCTTTGAACACTCCAGGCACAGTGAGATGAAGCCCCAAGGTGGCAAAGGTGGCAGAGCCTAAAGCAAGCACACTTCTCATAAGACAGATGAGGTCCAATACTGGGTTCTCCCAACCTAGGTGCCCTTCAACAGATGAATGGATAAAGAAACTGTGGTTTGTATACACGATGGAATATTATTCAGTCTTAAAGATGAATGAAATCATGGCATTTGCGGGTAAGTGGGTGGAACTGGAGTCCACCATGCTAATTGGAATTAGCCAATCCTAAAGAATCAAAGGCTGAATGTTTTCTCTGATATGTGGATGCTAATTCACAATGGGGGGGGGGTGTAGTAGAGAGGTACTTTGGATTAGACAGAGGAGAGTAAAGGGAGGGGAGGGAGTATGGGGTAGGAAGGGCAGCAGAATGAATTGCACATTATCACCCTATGCACCTATGTTGATTTAATTCTACATCATGTAGAATTACATGGAGAATGAGAAGTTGTACTCCACTTATGTAGGAGGTGTCAAAATGCATTCTACTGTCAAGAATAACTAATTAGAACAAATTAAAAAAAATACTGGGTTCTCTCCGATCTCTTACCTCTGTGGTTCAGGAGGGAAGAGATGCACCTTTTTGGTGCTTTCTGTGAGCATTTTTAGCTGATAGGTTAGACTTTAAATTACAGGGCCTTTGGTGGTTTGGCTTAGAAAAGGCCACTTCATCTCTGTGGGGCCTTCAGGCCATTTCCTGGAGGAAGCTCTAGGACCTTTTGTAAGTTTCAAGGAATGTGGCCCCCAGGCTAAGGATCAGTTTTCTGATTGTGGGAGAAGATGGTTCTATTTTTTCTTTTCACATGGGGATGGATTGCCAGATTCTTCTAATATGGATTGGCATCACTTGGAATTTTTTTCCTGCAACATTGGAGAATTTCACATATTTGTAAAATATGCAGATACATTTTTTTTTAAAGGAAAATCTCTGCAGGTATGGATTTCCATGGAGATTTGGTTTTTGCTGTTAGCTGGGTTAAAGAGTTAACCTTAACTTGCATAAGTTTGGTAGTAAAACATTGTGGAAGTTTTCCAAAAAAAAAAAAAAAAAAAAAATTCACAATGTGAATAGGCAAGTACATTAAAGTACACGTTTGTATTTGATTCTTTCAATGTAAATGGGTTACAGTGGCTGTAGACAGGAGCTAGCTGGAGGAACAGTGATGTCTATCAGGTGTTTCCTGTTCCTAGTTTTATTTTATTTTATTTTTTGGTAAGGAGAATTAGGAAAATGCAGTTCTACAGGGGGTGCCCATGGCTCTGGTCTAGTAGCAAAGCAGCCGGCATTTCTTTTCTTTTTTTTTTTTTTGTTCCAGGGGCACTTAACCACAGAACCACAGCCCCACGTCTCCACACCCCACAGTCCTTTTTATTTTTCATTTTAAGACAGGGTCTCCCTAAGTTGCTGAGTCTGGCTTTGAATTTGGCAATCCTCCTGCCTCAGGCCCCCCACCCCCAGGGATGGGGGATGACAGGTATGTGCCCTCATGCCCTGCAGCAGCCAGCAATTTTGAAACTGAAGTTACAAATCCAGGTAAAGGATTCCAGTTTAAAGAAGAATATGTGTGAATATTTGTTGAGCATCCGCTAGTGACCTCACGGAGCATGTGTGTGGGGCCTTGGTTACTAAACCACAAGCACATGAGCTCATAGGCAAGCTGACCAGTACGCTGTCCAGGGTCACTCAAAGAATTGTTGGAAATTTACTTGCAGACATGGTTATGCCTCGGGTGTGACCCAGTCTTTCCCAGTACAGCTGCCTGTGGAACCAGCTCATCCATCTTCTAGCCTAAAAGGCACTGGACAGCACAGAAGCCCTGCTGGTCAGGAAGAGTCCAGCCCCAGGATCAGAGTCGTGACAAGCCGCCCCGCAGACAGGTATTTTCAGTTGGGTCGGGAAGTTTCGGGGTGTTCCTGAACATGCAGGAATTGTCCCAGCACCCAACATCCCAGGGTCTGTGCCCAACTATTCTCCTTGCTGCTGGGAGGAGAGCTCATTATGGGAGGAAAAAATCTTGGTTTGCAGGTCCAGCCAGGGTCCCCGGACAAGGACAATCTATTAGAAATGTCTTTCATTATATGATGTTAAATATGATATGCAATAATATATTAATAGTTTTATAATTATAAAAATATAAAGTTATATAAAATGGACTATCTAAAAATTCAATGTAATTCTTTTGTCATAGGCTTGGGATTCTATTTTTTTAAAAATATTAATTTTTTAGTTGTAGTTGGACACACTACCTTTATTTTATTTATTTATTTTTATGTGGTGCTGAGGACTGAACCCAGGGCCTCGCACATGTTAGTTGAGTGCTCTGCCGCTGAGCCACAGCCCAGCCCTTGGGGTTCTATTTTTAATGTTATCCTTGACTTCATCAGTGAGTCTCTCATTAAATATTGGAAACATTTAGAGGTTTGCCTTGAAGTATGGAGATTTTGAGAATCTCCCTTTCAGGGATGAAGGATCTTGGGGAAATTAAGGAAATAGGGGATATTAATATCCCCTATTGGAGGAGTAGCTGGCCAAAATTTCCTCCCATTCTGTAGACTCTCCCCTCATACTCTTATTTCCTTGTCTATGCAGAACCTTTTTAGTTTAATGGCATCCCACTTACTGATTGTTGGTTTTGTTTCTTGTGCCTTAAGTGTTGTTGAGGACGTTGGTGCCGGCACATATAGGTTTTATCTCTTTTCTTTTTTTGTGGGGAGGGGGTTGCTGGGGATTGAACTCAGGGGCACTCGACCACTGAGCCACATTCCCAGCCCTATTTTGTGTTTTATTTAGTGACAGGGTCTCACTGAGTTGCTTATGGCCGTGCTTTTGCTGAGGCTGACTTTGAACTCCAGATCCTCCTGCCTCAGCCTCCTGCGCCTCTCAGCGCGCCAGCTGATACTGTGTTTTCGTCAAGCAGTTGTAAGGGTTCTGGTCTAATTCCTAAGACTTTGAGCCATTTCAATTTGAAAGTGTGTGGAATGAATGGGGTGAAAGACAGGGGTGTGATTTCACTTTTCTACATATAGCTATCCAGTTCTCCCAGTGTTATCTGTTAAAAAGGCTGTCTTTTCTCCAAAATATATTTTTGGTCCCTTTGTCAACTATCAGATGGCCATAGGTTTGTGGCTTTGTCTCTGTGGCTCTTCACGTGTATTTTGGTGTAGAAAGGTCTAATTTATCAGAATCTGGGAAGGGGGACTGGAGGGTCAAGAACAATGTGAAAGGCAGTAGATACTTCTTGATGTTTTTCTTTTTTAGGGTATTGGGGATTTACCCCAGGAGCACTTTACTGCTAAGCAACATCCCCCAACTCTTTTTATTTTATTTTTTAAATAGGATCTCACCTGGCTATTCCTTTTGGGCAATTCTAGTGTTGCCACTAGGTGGCGAAATTGCCTGACTTTGGCTCAATCCCTATCTGTCCCTGGGGCCTGGAAGGAGGGGAAGTAGTAGAATCATTTCACAGTTTGAGTTGTTATTTCTTTTCTCTGTCTCATCTTTTGTTGTGAATGGCAAAGAAATGAATTTTTGAGGTAAACCACATGTCTGGCGAGTCCACTCTGGAAATTGAGGTGACAGACACTGCACTTTGTCTTTGGGCCCAGTCCTGTGAGGAGTCTTGCCTGGGTCTTGAGGAGGCGGAGCACTGTTCTGTATTGTACTGTGCTATATGCTTTTCCACCCTATCTATTTAGTCTGGTTAAGCAGACCCGAAAATGAGGTCTAACCTCAGCTCACAGAGGAGGCCACTGAGGACCAGCAAGCCATTACCAGCTTGGTGACAGGAGCAGGAATAGAATCAATGTTTATCAGGATCCCAAGTCAGGCCTCCCAGGCATGCTGAGGTCCCAAAGGAAATGTCACCTGTGCTTTCCTGTGGGGAGGTAGATGGTGGGGACCTCGCATGAGTCTGGCCTGTTTATTACTTAGTGAAGGCAGAGGGTGAGTAGGCAGTAACTAAACCTCATCTATGGTTACTGCAGGGAAGAGTTAGATTTTAAGGTGGAAATCCAATGCAATGAAAATCATTCTCGTGAACACCTTAGGGGGCTGCCATACTGGAGAGCAACATTCTATCTCTCAGCAAGTTTTCCTCCCTCTTTGGAACACACTGTCTCTCCCCCACCCCCTGCCCTCATGAGATAGTTGGCTGGTGTCCAGGGGACATGCTGTGTGTAAAATGTGTCCTATGTATTGAAACATGAGCCTCCCTTCCTGGCTGTGAGTGCTGGAGACAGTTGGTGTGATTTGTGAGCAGGTTTTGTGCATCTTTTCCCAATTCTGTGTTCAGGGTCATGATGTTGGTAGTTTGAAATCAGCCATCGTTGGGGTATGAGTCCCACAGTAATTGGAAGACACCAGAAATCAGGTTTTGTTTTTGTTTTTTTTTTTCCCCTCCAGAAAAGCCAGCTGCCAAATGGTTACCTGCACATCAGTACCCAGTGGGCAGCAGGAGCTCACACCTGAGAGACAGGAGGGGGCAGGGATGGACCTAGGTGCCCTGTGGTTTATAACTCTTACCTCATACTTATTTGGGGGCCTCATTAGGATTATTTCAGTTTGAGTTGTTATTTCTTTCCTCTGTCTCACTTTTGTTTAGAGGAGGAGAAATATTTTCAGAGACAGGATCTCAGAAAAATCAGTAGTTAGGAAACCACAGGCCCTGAGTGGACAATTATGTGGAGCCTTTCAGTAAGGGCCTGTGTGGGGAGAAACAAGAATGAGAAGGGCACAGGGGGACCTCAGCTAGAGAGCAGACAGGCAATGTGACGCAAGGGGGCAAAATTGTGTCATATGCAGTCCAAGGGAGAAACAAAGAATGTTCACAAGCTTCTGCCCCTTTCAATGCTTTATTCACTCAAATCACTCAATACAATTCACTCTATAGGTTCTTAATCAAGAAAATGACAGTCATTAATGCTAGGTACTGCAATAGGCATGATCCATTCACAGCAAACAATTCTAGATTAATTAATTCACAGCAAACAATTCTAGATTAATTCTATGCACTGCAGAACACTTAATCATGACAGGCTAATGTCAGACATTCCCTCTGCATGCTGAGTTCAAAAGTCTCAAGACCTTAGGCTTTATATGCAGCAGATGTACATCCACTCAGATTGCGGTGAACCAGGTCTGGAACCAAGACAGGCTTTTCCTGGGTTGGAATGGATGACCTGTTGAGGAGAGGGTCATAGGGAGGAGTTGTGGCTCTCACCAGGGTCCAGACAAGGTGGTAGAGTTTGAGAGCAGTGAGGATAATGCAGAGGATTAGGAAACAATGACAAGTGATGGGATGTCAGGTCCTCATCAGGCTCTCCAGTCCAAGTGCATCCTTGTTTCAACTGGCTAAATCCCTGCTCATCAGCTCTATTATTTATAATATATATTTATAAAATTTTGGGGCTTTTGACCCTCTTGAAATCCTTATCAGCTACCACTGGTTTTCTCAGTTACATCATTTACCCTGGGGTCAGAAACATCTGGTCTGGTGATCTCCACCCTCATCTCCTGCCTTTCCCTCTTATCTTTCCAGGACAGCCTGCCAGAGTTTCACTCTGTTTACCAGGGTGACAGGAAGTAACTTGTTTGAGGCCACACTGGAGGGCTCTGTGGGTGTGCCTGCATGATAAAAAAAGTTTTGAAGCAATTATCTGATTACCTAGAAGAAATGGATTAATTCTGGTAACATACAAACTACTGAGGCTGAATCACAAACAGATAGAAAAATCTGAATAGATCAATAATGAATAAGGAGCATAAATCAATAAAAAATGTCTCCCATCAAAAATTTTAAAAAAGCTCAGGACCAGATGATTTCACTGGTAAGACTATGAATATTAGTGAAGAAATGACACCATCTATCTCAAACTCTCAAAGAATGAAGAAGGGGGAACACTTCCCAACTCAGTTCCCAAGGCAAGGATTCCACTAATACCAAGGCCAGGCAAAGACATAGCAAAAACAGAAAATTGTAAGTCAGTATCTCTGTTAATCATATAATACTGACATAGACAGTAAGAATGGGAGACAGGCTGAGAAGAAAACAGAATTGGGTGAGAGATCTCATAAAATTCACAGGAAAACCAGCGGCTATGTATCCACGGTGGAGTGACCCAATGTCAGAACCCTTTTAACATGGCTTCTGAAGGGACAGAGGAACAAGGAGAGGGCAGCAGGTGGCCAAGAGGCATCTCAGCTGGGGGAGCAATGGGCAACTGGATGAGGGGCTAATGGGAGGTCCTCACAATAGTTCCCCATCTGGTTTGACTGTAAGATGATAATAGTAGTTAATAGAGGAGAGAAAAAGCTGTGTCCTACAGTCATTCTCAGGAGAAAGGGAGGACTGACTCATATCAGAGGAAGTTGACCCCAGAGCAGACAATGACCAGGGAAAGTGGGATCAGGAAGGTTGGAGGAAACTTGTGAAGGTTGAGGTCAACCAGCTGGTCCCACTGCAACTCGCCCACACACAGCACAGCAGTGCCAGATCCCACTGCTAATAATGGATGGTGCCTTCAGGTGGGAGAAGAGTTCACCTTCCTCCCCAAGTGCCATGGTGCACAGGAAGGAACCCGGCACAGGCAGTAGAGGGGGAGGAGGCAGTGGGCAGCATGAAAGCATCCAGGGGCACATCCTGGGCTGGGGCCAGGGAGAGGGTTAGGTGGGGTCAGTTCCACAAAACGGGGGAGAGCTGAGAACAAGCCATGGCTTAGGGAGCTCTGCTTCCTTGACCTCACCACTAAGTGCCAGGAACAGCTGATGCTGGATTCACTCTGCCTTTCCACCAGGATTTTTGGACAATAAAATAATCACCGCATCTGAGGTGCTGAGTGATGGATCTGATTGATCAGGTGCTTGATTAACTGCCCTGGGG